AGTTTTTTTGAAAATTAAGCTTGAGAAATTAAGATTTATGACAGCAGCTTTTAATACTGGTTTTATATTAGAATCCTCTAAAAATATCTCTAAAATTAATGAGTGCCCAGATGCTTTTCAAATAACCTGACTCAGAATATTGGTTGTTTATAGACCTAGGAACTCTTCCTTTCCTCCTATCTCCCTTCCCCTCTCTCTCCCTCTCTTACACTGCTTCCACCTCCCCTTCCTTCATTTCCTCTTTTCTGTTTTCCTCTTTACTTCTGACATCATTTTTACTTTCTTTTAAAGCTTAGGCACCAGAAAGAGAATAATTACAATATTTATGAGTAACGCAGGTACCCGCTCTGTTATTTACTGCTTATGTCACATGTACAAGTCAATCTGAATGGTTTTAACTACCAACTTGATAAAACCCAAATGATAATGTCTCCCTCAAAGAGCTTTGCTACAAGCAATGTCATTGAGTCTCACAGGAAGAGAATCCTTGAAAATAACAACATATCTTAAAGTGCTACAGAAAAATACAACCAACCAAAATGCAGAGTTGTAGAGCTCAGTCCTAACTGATGCTTCTACCCAACACTTCCACACCTAAGGCTCAAAGAACACTGAGTAAGAGGGGGCAGAAAGCTTGTAAGAGCCAGAGGATAAGTGAGTTTGCTGTGAGACTATGTCTTCTAGTAACATCAGAGGCTACATCCATAGGTTTCCCCAGCACAACCACCCAAATATGAGCTAAACAAGGACAGTACCAAGAGACATGCCAAAGCGTTTGGCTGCTCTTGGCCACTAAGTCCGAGTATTGGGCGGAAGCCTGGAGATTTGGATGAACCACAAGACTCCTGGTCCTTTTCTGAGAGAATCTCTCTCACCTTTCTTGTGGAGCAGCCTTATATACAAACTTACAAAAACCCCAGGTCAAAGGGTTCACAACAGGATACTGATCCCAGTGGGGTGAGGTCAGGAAAACAGGAGGTACCTGTGGTTATGCTGGAAAACAACTCTTAGAGACCCCAGGAGGCTGGGTTCCAACATCTCCCCCTTCTTTATATATAACAAAACAGCTATCAAGTAAGAACTATAAGATTTTAACCATTCTATCTTAGTGTGTTACTGTAACTATATATCTTCAAACTAACTAGTAAGATCCTTTCCAATACAAAGTATCAACAAATGAGGATCCATTCCAATACAAAGTATCATTTCTTTTTCCTTTAAAAAGTGATCGACTGTGACCAGTACCATTTCTAACCAACTAAATTTAAATGAAAACAAATATCGGATCACCTGAGCCACTGCTTTAGGGGGTCCTGCCCCATGAAACCATACCAATCTGGAAGGAATCCACAGCTCTTTACCCTCCATGGAAAAAAAGCAGAAATTTCCCTCCCAAGTAACCTGTACTTTAACAACTGTTGCTCCTTCCCCAGCAATTAAACGATTCAAAGACAAAACAATAGCATTCTTTCATTAACAATCAATCACGCATTTAAAATCACACTTCATACACACATGTGTGGCCACAGCATACATACAGAACATACATAAATCTTTTGAACAAAAGTCACAAAGGAGAGGAGGTGTCAGAGATGGCCATCCTTACCATAGCTTGGCACACATCTTTGTCCATTCCTGTATGGTCTTTGTCTATTCCTGTATGGTCTTTTGTAGGTCCTGGGTCTTTTCTTTATCCACTTGGACATATTCTCCTTTCTCACCCGATGCAACAGATAATGTGGATGGCTTGCGATGAAGGCTCTAGGAGACCGGCTGAAAGTCCAGGGCTATGTAATTCACATTTCCAGTACTCTTCTTTGGAGCTGGGCTGTTAGTGCCACTGGATACAGGGGATGAAGTCATTGGGTTCTGCATAGGGACATAGTTCTCCTCACTGTCTCTGGAGTCTGTTTTGGAGATGGAATGGCAGTACTGAGAGGAGTTGGAGTTAAAGGTGTGGTTGACTGTGGACAAAGACTTGGTGACAGGTGTCTTGAAAGGGAGCTCACTGATGACAGTGTTGTTACTCAGGTCAAGGGGTACTGGCTTTGCTTTTCGGCCAGGCTTGAGGTGGATATTGACCAGGGATGCATTTTATGCATTGGTGCAGGTGTTGATACTCCTGAGGTGGACTGGTGGACAAGGCAGGCTGGATGTGTCTTGACACAGGTAGCTGGATAGAGTGTGAAAGGGCTGAGGACTTTCTTGCTCAGAGCAGGTGATGACTGGTACTGCTGAATTCAGCTGTAGAAGAGCGGAGACTATGACTGACTGAAGAAAGGTTTCTTAGGGCATCAGTGCTCTCTTTAGTCTGACTGAAGCCACAGATCTGGCAGATGTTCTGG